TCTTTCTTGCTCATCAGTAGTCTGATTGTCATAGTTTCTTCTACAAGAGCAGCATAGCGAATAGAAGAATACATCAGAAGCCGACAGCCACACGCTGGCTAACATAGGGGGTTATTGAGGGCTGGCTGTGTGCCTGGTTGAATCAGACTGATTTGGGTCTTGCTGCAGCTAACCTGGGCAGCACAATGACCAAACTAAAAGCCTTCAGGGCTCCTGCAGTGAGATAGTGATGTACACAGTCATTGAAATGTGTAGGAATTGTGAGGAACTGTGTTTACAGCCTCAAAACCATGAGGTGTCATCTTCATGGTCTCACCTTAATCTCTGAGAAAACACTGATGTGAGTAGCTGGGGGTGCATGACCCGCCACACCGGCTGTTTCCTACAGCAGTGAATTACCCATGACGCATCCCTGACCCTCTTCTGTCATGATTTGTAACGAGCCTCACAAGTGCCCATCTTTGCATGAAAATGGGCATGTTTACTACTTCCTGGAAGTAGTAAACATACCTTACTCTTGTATTAAACTTCTTCCCTCAATCTATTGTCCTCCAAATGTCCAACAGATCCTTCAGATCTTTACAGGTCCTACCAGGGTGTTACCAGGGTCTACCCACTACTCCTGGGTCTGTCTTCTGTATGATCCCAGTGCATCTGTTTACTCTTCTTTATCTTGTCCTACTTCTATCAAACTGGACTGTCTGTTGCCCAAGAAGATGGGTTACTCTTAAGACTTGGTTCCTCTCAGTGGTTCTTCCTAATGCTCTTAGGGAGTTTTTCCTTTTGAATCTTGGCTCCTCTTAGTGGTTCTTCCTCATGTTCTTGAGGACTCTCACTAGACGTGACTGGACCCACATTTCTGGAGGCTGCTTTTTGAGTCAGGGGAGCGGGGTAGTGAAGAATTAAAGCATGCAGATACCTCATGGTTACCAAAGCACAGGTTGGAACTTTCTTTGATGAGTTTCATTAAAAGTTGATGCTGCTTCAAAAGCCATGGGGTAGGACCCTGTCAAGAATGCAGTCAGTTAACATGACTCTAAATGGAGCTGAAGATGGTTCTGCCTGGGTTGTTGTTGCATAGATGCCATCTCTGTGCTCATTAACCAGATGCTCCAAGCTCTTGTGAGGGCAAATGGGTTATGTCAGACATACAGTATATCACTGGGATGTTTATGTAAGTAGGGTTGCTTTCCACATACTGCTGTACAGAGAAGGCTTTCTGAGGAACCACAAATCATGTTTATGCTCTAGTCCTCTGTTTTCTGTCTCCCATATCCTTAAACACACCATCTAACACACAGCAGAGCTCATTATGTAAAACAGCTCCCTTAGTGTGAAGTCACACATACAGAAACATGCTTCATCTGCCAAGACAAGTGTGTATCGGCTTGGCATGAGCTGAGCTGTGATGCAAATTGCATGTAAAAACAACAGCTCTGCTTTCTATGTGCACATATGTTGCATTTTCACCCATCCAATTTAGGGCCTGACTGATATGAAAATTTGCCATAATAAATATACACATCTTTCGTTTTTAGCTAATATAAGGATGGCTGTTGTATTGTGATGTAGGCTAAATCCATGAAATGCTCAACAGAAAATGATCCAATCAGGGTTTTTTCTCTGTGGTACCTAGGTAGATACAGCCAAGCAAGCTCTTCCATTGGTTAGGCAGTATTTTGTACATGCTTTCGGGGACATGATGCTGGAAACAAGCAGCAAAAACAGACTCACAGGGAGTAAAATAAAAGGCTACAGCCATTGCTACCAGAATAAAGGCCCAGCAAAATTACACGAGCAAAACTTTGCATCGAGTTTAACTTTGGTGAACTTAAACATGTGCCTTCAGCTAACAATGCTACTTTAGCTATATTGACCTCTGAATACCTAGAATGGAGGAAATGCTGATTTAGCCAGAGTCTAATTTAACGTTTCTTTCCCATTGGCTGTAAATAAAGACACAAAAGGGAGACTGCATGATACATAGTCAGTCAGGGGACTTAACTTTAGTATCATAAGCTTTAGTTTTGTGATTTTTACTGTTTATTAGGTGAATTCGCCAGCTTGATAACTGCTAGGTTAGCTCCTTGGTTAGCAATAGCTGTACATAAATCACAGCCAATCATGCCAGATATCTCCTCTTTTGTGACAGATCAGTCTGAAGCACTGCGCTGAGGTGAGCTATAATTATCTAATATAAATATGTTTAGGCTTGTCTTTATAGTGTTTATGGTTAGCGAGTAAGCTAGGTCACAGCCTTTGCAAACATCTGCAAATAAAATGTAAATTTGTTGTTTAATAAAATACATAATTTTTGGAAATAATCAAAACTAAATGTAATAAATAAAATGAATAAAATTGTGGTGTATATTTCATGATAAATAGGCCACTAAAAATTATCCAAAATAACATCAAATAAAATCACTTACATTAACTTTAAAATAAAATTTAAGCTATTTTTTGCATTCTCCTGGAAAGTTACCTTTTTGGACATGCATGTTTAGTTTTTTGGACAGTGATGATATCTTACTTTTAGCTTTATGTTGAAGGCTTCAGTGCAGCCAAGACCAAAGGAAGTGAAAATTGACTTTATTATTGTTGCAAAACATATGGACCATATCATTGACCGATATAAGGTCAAAAGATTCACAGAATCGAGTAGTTTCGGTTACATTATTGATTACTCAAGTTTTAAATGATGCAAACATTGTAGCGCCATGTAACCATATTATCAGCCAGTTTTATTGGCCAAATGATATGAGTAGAGCCCTAATCTGTTTTAAACTTAAACTATTCCGACTAAATATCCATTGATTGGCCAGACAGTTCCCTGGCCATGGCAGTCCGTTAGTACAGCTTGATTGCCTCAGGCAAGGCAAAGCCAATGAACCACAACAGCACAGAAGGGTTCAGCCAAGTGCCTCCGATCAAACATCGGAAGCATGTTAACACAGCCGAAACGTCATCAATGATGTTTGCATTCCCACACATAGACGGCAGGCCAGAGCAGTTAGGAAACACTCAGCAGGCTAAACTGGAGCAGACAACCTTTCAACCCACTTTTTAGTGCTTGTCGATTGCTGTGGGTTCAGAAAGATGAGCCACTCGCTGGAAGGCTGGCTGCAGATTGGCTTATCTTCCGGCGACATCTGCCACAAGTATGTCTGCTTTAAAGATGAGCTCATGAAGGCAGCTTTCACTGCACATGCCTTGTGGTGAATAATCTGAACGCTTCTGCTGTACTGCAGCGCCAAAGGCCTGATCCTGATTCCAGAACAGTAAACAGGCTTCCATTCTATGAATTCAGTCAAATGTTTATTTGGTTACTATCGGGACAAATCCTCATACCTACATTTTTATGTCAACCTTTCATGACAAAAGGACTAAAATGATTTTTGAAAAGCAAATATTTCAAATTACTTTAACTGATGTTAAGTAAGAATGTTTGATAACACTTCCTCTGAAGGCTGTCTACATGGGGATGTCACAATGCATGCATAAACTTTGAATAATGAGCAATAAAAAGCAATTCTTGAGTATTTATGAACAGTGTCAGTATTGAAAAGATGATCAAGGATGTTTTATAAAGAACATGACATTGCACTGATATAAGGAGCCTTAAACTACAGTGATGTACATTTGTTTCATTTGGAAGGCTATTATGCAGAAAACTACTTAAGATCACCATATATGGCATAATTTCTACGAACACCTCATACTAAAGTGAGACGGGAAAATGAACAGGAAAGTAGAACTGATTGAGGCCTTTTTATCTGGGCCTGAGGCATATAATTTTAATTACATGTAAATGACCCTTCATAAAAGTGCTCTAAATGGAACAAATGTCCGTCACTTTAGTCTAACGGCCCTCATTTAATCATCTTTCGCCATCTTAAGAAAATTGACAAAAGCTCTTGATATGTTAATTTTAAAATGCATTTTTAAATGCATTAATTTGCAAGTTTGATGGAGGAGGGATAATGGGCTGGGGTTGTTTTTCAGGGTTAGGGCCCCTTAGTTCCATGAAGCGTAATGTTAATGCTACAGCATATAAAGACAGTTTCGACAATTATGTGCTTCCAACTTTGTAGCAGCAGTTTGGGGAAGACCCTTTCCTGTTCCAGCATGACTGTACCCCTGTACGCAAAGCGAGCCCTGACCTCAACCCCACTGAACACCTTTAGGAAGAACTGGAACATCAATTGTGAGACAGGCCCTCTCGTTCAACATCAGTACCTGACCTCACAAATGCTCTTTTGACTGAATGGGCACAGATTCCCACAGACACACTCCAAAATCTTGTGGAAAGTCCTCCCAGAAGAGTTGAGGCTGTTAGAGCCACAAAGGGAGGCAACTCCATATAAGGTCCAGCAAGCTTATATAGGTGTGATGGTCAGGTGTCTTATTATGGCCATATAGTGTACCTTTTGATACATTTCTGTTTCATTTGCAAATGACTTTGCATGCTTGCCTGTAATTTTTCTCTTTCTGGTTTAAATGTCAATTTTTGCCAGTTAAATTCTGTTTCTGCCCAGTGAGTGGAAGTAGAATGGAAGTGTTATTTAAAAAAAAGGGAGTAGAAATAGAAGATGTTAGCCTCAAGTAGCCAGTGAGTGTATATCAATATTTCGATACTACCATGTGAAATTACATTGTTTTGTCAGCATGACTATAGAAATATACATAACAAATTCGCACAGCACATCATATTTCTAAAATGACAATGTTTACAGTGGAAGGAAAGCGCATTTTTACCTTCACTGTGTGTTTTATTCCAAGTAATTGTAGATCAGTTCAGATCAGTTGGTCCATTCAACAGAAAGTGTTTACACATTGTAAACAGCAGCTGGTATTAAAAAAGGGTTTTTATAGAACAGCAATGATATTAAGCTACATCCTGCACACAGCATTCACAGCTAGCATGTATATCACTCTGTCTCATTGTGTCTTGCTGCAGCTCCTGTGTCCTGTGTGAGGTGCCCCGTGCTGGACTGGAGGTGATGAGTGTGTGTGGCAGGAAGGCCCTGACGCTGCTGAGCAGTGTGTTTGCTGTGTGCAGCCTGGGCCTGCTGGGCATCGCCGTCAGCACCGACTACTGGCTCTACCTGGAGGAGGGGATAATACTCCCTCTAAACCAAAGCACGGAGATACGCATGTCGCTCCACTCTGGCCTCTGGAGGGTCTGCTTCCTTGCAGGTGAGGGGTCTGTCTGCATTTGTGTTTGCTAGCGTGCTAGTTTGGTCATTGCTGCAAAGTTTATTTGCTAAATGCAAAGGTTTGAACACTTCAAATTAAGTTGCGTTATGCTTTGTGGATTTTTTTAAGTGAAAATAAGTTACACATCCTCTACACAGAACAATATTTTATATTTTTACCAATAAATTAGATAAATATTGAATGTTTAACATCTATTTATTGTACAATTCATTTACAGTTCAACCAAGATTGTTTTCTCTGTGGTGTCTTGAAAGATACAGCCAAGTGAGCTCTCCCATTGATTAGGATTTCAGGAGCTGAACTGAAGGCCCTACATGTTAGATAAATTAATAACATAATTAGGAACTGACACAAGAATCAACCAATCACACTTTGATTTACAATGTGAGCAACTTAGTGGGAAAAATTTCACTGTAGGCCCTCTGAAAGACAAAGATACAGGACTGACTGTGATTACAAGGTTTTAGTTAGTTGTTAGGAATGGAAAACAATGGCATCAGGTCTATGCCAGAAATACCTACTGAAAAACTGTAAAGCTGATACATAGAAGGTCAAATATGTTGTCACTTTTGTGACAAAACCTTGTATCTCCAAAATGGTAACTCTACAGAAGGAAAGAATATTTGTAATTCTGAATGGACGTTAAAGGAACAAGGTTTTTACAAGTAATTTTAGAGCATTTGTGCAACACTTTCAGCATAGTGCTAACATACTATTAGAAATCCCATAGGGGCCCTAACATAAATTAGCATTATTGTTTATTTTCTTGTTTTTTCTTTTTTTTTGACTGAGTTTTGACATTTAAGGCTCGAACTGAAGGCCTAGTCACAGTCTCCACTGGATTTATACAGCTCCACTTGGACAGCCATTTTGCTCAACTTGAGACACAATGTCACCTCTGCGGTTCTATGTCACACTTAGTTTAAAATTAAAGATCATACATGAGTTTTTTTTATTATTATTCCAAGCTACTATGCAACCCTATGTAATTCCAGTAATTGGTTAAGCAAAGAAATACTAAATACTAAGTCATATTTGTATGTTGTTGCTATCAGAACAAAACCTTATACCTACATTTTCACTGAACGCACAGTATTGTGCAAAATTCAGAGACCCTTTCATGTATTTTATGTCCAGTTTAACTGGCCATTAAGTATTAAAAGTTAACTTATTAATTTTTCAGAGTTGGAGGAATAAAGAAGAAAACAAATTATGTCGAAAACTGAATATAAGATTCTTTCAGTATTCAGTGTGTCATTCTTTGCCTTTATTATAGCTTCCATTCTTCTCAGGAGACTCACTTTCAGTTTCTCAAACAAATATACAGGCATATTTTCACAAGTTCAGTCTTAGAAGTTGGTTTAGCATTTTTTGCATCACACGATCCAAGTGAACACATTCAGTGATGTTGAGGTCTGGACTCTGGGGTGGTCAGTCCATTGTTCAGCTTCTTTGTTTGATGTGTCTGTCTCCTTTTCTCAGTAAGGGCTTCTTGAACAGCTACACATCCTTTCAGACCCAAAGTGCTGAGTTGTCTTCTTACAGTGGAAGGATGGAAAGAAACACCTGTGGATGTTTTCAGATCTGAAGCAGCTTGATTTTCTTGTCTCTCTCAAAGATGAAAGCTTTAAGTGCTGTTTATCTGATGGGGACAGTCTTGGTGTCTACCAGGTCTTCCAGGTGGTTGTTGGAGTCGCATTTTCTATGTAGCTTTATTTCCTTGCGTTTACAAGTGGATTATCTTCTATCTAATCTCATCAGAAACATCTCCTGAACAATAAGTAACTTGTACTTGACGGCTGTTTTGACTGTAAATGAAATAAATGAAGGGTGATTTGTAACTTTTGCACAATATTGAGTTTGTATGAGTTTGTGAATCTATGTTTTAAAAATCTTGCTATGAGACAAGCTTGGCACAGTGCCACCTCTCCTGCCCTGAGAGCTTATACAGTGTCATGAAGAAACAGCTTGTGTCAATGAAGCTCCATTAAGAAGGCTTGTTCGTTTGTGTTTGATAGACTAACAGTGCCCACAGTGACACTTACAGCAGTGAACACTGCAGTGATGACATGTTACAGCTTATAATTGCTCGCAGCCTTCGCTGCTGCCTCTGAGAACAATACAGCCTCTCTTACACCTGTCTCTCCTCATTCTTTCATCATCCGCTCATCTGCTGCCCCATTTGAACTGCACAATGCTCTCCCTGTATGTGTCTGTGTAATTCTGAATATCTCCTTTCAGGCTGCGTGGCGCTCTCCCTGTGGTTCTTCCTCTCTCTCTTTCTGTCAGGCTGAGAGAGGGAAAGTGTCAGTCTCTTTCACACGCTCATGCTCCATTTCAGCATCTCCGCTCACTCTCTCTCACCAAAGCCAAGCTGCGGTGGCACTCACCCTGAGCTCCACTTCCTGCCTTTATCCACAAAAATCTATGCAATTCATCCTCCCTGCATAATACTATGCAATGCATCCTCATTTATGGGTGGGCGATATGGGAAAGATGTGAAGCCCTTTTGACGATATGCAATATGTATCACGATAATTTGTCTTTCTTAGGTTTATGAACAAGTTGCAAAGGACACAGTACAAAACAGCAGTACAGTAAAAGTCAACAGAACTATGAGTTTAATCATTTCAGTTCAGTCTTTGCAGAAATAAACTATTTAAGAAAAAACAGGAGTGGAAAAACAAGCAATGGCTGGGTCATTCTACACTCTCAGAACAAAGGCAAACTGTCACAGTATCTTTAGTTTGGGAACAAAGTTCGTATTCTGCTGCAATTATGTATTAAGTTGCATTGATTCCATACAATCTGTCTTGACTTTTGGCTTTTTATTTCATTTTTCCATTTTAAATCAGTATGAAAGGTTATGAAAAGGTACAAATATGCACCTTCCCCCTCTGAAAGTGACCCTATTAGCCCTCAAAAAACTGTTAAGACCATTGTTTATACCTTGCTGAACAAAATTTTACCTGTATAGTACCTTTTTGTGACAGTGTACCATTGCAGGTGGAATAAAGCTAAAAAAGTGAGCTCAAACAAGAATTAGAAAGAAAAAGTTGATAAACGAACTTTAAGTTGGATCTAAGCCAGCTAATAAAGCCTCAAGAGTAAAAGCAGTTGTGGAAGTTGACCGGCCACATCATTAAAACTGCCTCCTTGTTTTTACACTCACTGTCCATTTTATCAGCTCCACTTACCAGAGAGGAGCACTTTGTAGTTCTACAATTGCAGACTGTAGTCCATCTGTTACCCTGCATACTCTGTTACTCTTCAATGGTCAGGACCCCCACAGAGCAGGTATTGTTTGGGTGGTGGATCATACTCAGCACTGCGGTGACGCTGACATGGTGATGGCGTGTTAGTGTGTGTTGCACTGGTTCGAGTGGATCAGACACAGCAGTGCTGCTGGAGTTTTTGAACACTGTGTCCACTCCTACCTTGTCAGTCCACCTTGTTGATGTAAAGTCAGAGACGATAGCTCATCTGCTGCTGCACAGTTTGTGTTGCTCGTCCTTTAGTCCTTCATCAGTGGTCACAGGACGCTGCCCACAGGACGCTGTTGGCTGGATCTTTTTGATTGGTGGACTTTTCTCAGTCCAGAAGTGACACTGAGGTGTTAAAAACTCCAGCAGCACTGCTGTGTCTGATCCACTCAAACTAGTGCAACACACACTAACACACCACCACCATGTCAGTGTTACTGCAGTGCGGAGAATGATCCACCACTCAAATAATACCAGCTCTGTGGTGGTCCTGACCATTGAACAACAGGGTAACAAAGTATGCAGAGAAACAGATGGACGACAGTCTGTAATTGTAGAACCACACAGTGCTCCTATATGGTAAGTAGAGCTGATAAAATGGACAATAGGTGTGGAAACAAGGAGGTGGTTTTAATGAAGTGGCCGATTAGAGTAGTAATTTCAAGTAGTTACTATGGTAATGCTACGAGGTTGCTATGGTATTCTAGCTTATTGTTAAGGCATTGATTTGTTGTTAGTTGGTTGCTAAAGTGTTACTAGGCTGTTGGTATGGTATCCCAGGTGTTTGCTAAAGTATTGCTAGGCCTTTATTATGCTATACCAAGATGTTACTAAGGTGTTGCTAGGCCAATGCTATGATACCTCAGTTGTTGCTAAGGTGTTGCTAGGCTATTGCGGTACTATTTCTAGTTGTTCCATATTTTTGTTTGTCCTACGTTAAAAATATTTTTTAATCTATAAATACTGTTTTTTAAATAAGAAATCTTGTCCTAAGACTTTTGTTAGTGATGTTACAGAAGCATAAAATGTGTTGAAAAAAAACTGAGATCTTTTTGAATTGCTTCTTATATGGATGTCTCAAAGGAAGAAATGTTGTGAGTCTTTTTAAAATGTCTGATAAATTTGGCTAAAATACTGACAGCATAATGAGTGACTTCCAATCAGATTCTGTAATCCAGTCCGCTACTTCTTACTATGTAGTTTCTATGCACTAGTTCATGTTCTTTATAACTCATCATATTACCCTGATATCTTCAGTATCTTCCTGCAGCCCCAGATCCCAGGAGTGCTTTGGCCACAATAGATTTCTAAAATGCATATGGGATGTGCAACATTTAGTTTACAAAAAAAGCTATGATGGCAGCGACTCTGTAGAACGCCACTCATTTTTCCCTTGGAGAAAATTGACACACTTAAAAATTATGGTTTTTCAAGGGTTCTTTAGTAAAGAAAATGGTTCTATGTAGAACAATGAACACTCAGAGAACCATTTGCATGATTAAATGGTTCTTTGCATGGGGTAATGGTTCTTCAGTTTGATAGAGAATGTGCCACAGATGGTTTCATATAGAACCCCTTTAGAAAAGGGTTCTATATAGCACCAAAAAGGGTTCTTTTGATTGTTACAATGTCAAACTTTTTGCAATAGAAGAACCATTTTTTGGTGCCCTTTCCTAAAAGATTCTATATTGAACCATATACAGCCGTTTTCCATCAAGCTGAAGAACCATTTCACCATGTAAAGAAACATTTAATCATGCAAAAGTGAAAGAAAGCAATTATCCATTTACATAATTAGCATTATGCAAATGACACCATGCTAACTGGTGGCTATTCGCTTCTATCCTTGTTAGTCACATTATCATGGTTGGTCAAGCTCTCCCTTTAAATGAATGAAAGCTCAGTCTTTTCATATGCAGCTTGCAAAACGATCATCTCCAGTTTTATCCTCCCCCCTCAAACCTGCATGCGTGACTGATCCTGCTTATCCTGATGGACGAGCCTTTGACATCCCTCCTAAAACCTAATAGGATTTGTAGTCCTAGGCTTTTTTTAAAGGATGCAGGGACATGGAGGTGCAGCAGGTGGAGGTTGACTTTGATTCTTGTCTATTCTTCTAGATTCTGCACCACCTGAGAGAGTGTTGCCCACCGGGGAACCAGGTACCTCTCTCTCTCTTTCTTTCTCTCTTTCTCTCTCTCTCTTTGTTTTTTTAATACCTTAAACCCTAAGGGTCTGTATGTGAAACCACTCTTCAAATAATCACTCTTATAATTACATAACTTACACATTTATTGTCGCTGCTGGAATGAAACCTCACTTCCTCAAATGGTAACTCTACAGGAGAAGGAAAAAATGAATGGACTGAAAATGAAAAAGGTCAAAATATTTGACTGAGATTAAAGAGGCCTATAATTAGGAGTCAAAAGAAATAGTGTTTAAAAATGCTGTTTTTTGTTGCTCTCCTACGCTGGTCGGCACAGACACATTCAGACAGTTTGAGCGGCAGCGGATCAACAGTAAAAATATCAGACATGTGGAACTTTTTCTTGGTTTCTAAAAGTCTCTTCAAGCAACAATTTTTGAAATGATGAAAAAAATCACAAACAAAAGCTGAAATACAAATCATAAGTAATAATGAAAACATACATACATACATCATCTAAACCGCTTATCCTTCTGGGTCTCAAAGAAAGAAAGAAAGAAAGAAAGAAAGACAGAAAGAAAGAAAGAAAGAAAGAAAGAAAGAAAGAGAGAAAGAAAGAAAGAAAGAACTTTATTGATCCTTTAGGAAAATTGCAAACATTGTTTCAAATGTATATATTTAATTTTGCTAAGTTTTTTACCAAAAAAAGTAGCTCCAGAGGTTTAAAGTGACCACTTTTGTTAAAGAATGATAGCAGTATTGGGAAAACTTGCTGTTATCAGATACAACAAATGAGTAGAACATCTTTCAGATTATGTGGTTGGAACTACCTGTTGTATAATACATGTCAATATAATGCCTCTACACAGATACATATTTTTTGGACCACTGGTTTTGGAAAATGTCTGGAGCTCTTAACAAAAGCCAAAAATGCTGGAAAATGTCTGCAGTAGTAACCGTTTAATTGGAGGTTAAAGGAAGCCCATGCATGCTTTATTTCCTCTTAATGGGTTATATAACTGAATTTTGGCTTGGCTCATGTCCATTTAAGGCTAAACAGGCCTGACTAAGTGGAGTATTGAGTGGCCTTATTGCTGTAGACCTATCGGCCACACGGTGTTGAGGGAATGACCCAGAAACCTCGAGCGTCTGACTCAGGGAACTCAGCCTGCCAGAACAAATCAGCATCTGGCTGTACATGAAAGCGTCTTGTTCTTGGTTGTTGGTTTGCTCTAACTGAAGGTGAACCTCCCTGTCCACCACTGCACTGACAACATGTTACTATAACAAGTCTTTCTACTAGAAAACTGGTCCCATCTCTAAAATAGCTAATTATACAACTTAACACCTTAACTTTTCTTCATAGCAGCCATAAAATGCAGTTAATTTCAAGCTTTTGGAGCTCCTGCAGTTGAACTGTGCATTTATTCTTCAATTATGTTGATGAAATATATTTTGATGGATTGTGTGTGGTTTACAAAAGCAGTAACGAGCTGGATTTTCACCTGTCTTGGTGAGCAAGCAGGTCAAAATTTATAAAAGTCTTTTTATTTATTTATTTATTTTTTATTTTTTTATCAAAGTTGATTTCAATTTCACTGGCAAAGTTCCAGGCACTGGGGGGCTGCAGAAAGAGACTACTATGCTAAGAATGGCCACCCAAATAATATCTGAACAAAAGCAGTCCTGTGGTCAGAAACTGAGCAATGATGAATGAGCTAAAGGGGGGAGCTAAATTGTGCATGCACTGCAAACAAAAAAAGTGTTGTTTTGGCTTTAAGTCTTTGAGCTGCCTTAAAAGTTTGAGTTAATTGGGTTTTGAATATTATGTTAACAGAAAAGGAATCAGTGTTTTTTCCGCCCTATTAACTTTTTATTTGAAGTTCAAATAACTCAAAAATGTAAGTCAGCCTGGACACTTTTTTTTTTATGTGTTACAACAAATGGGCTACAGTCTGTAATTGTTAATTGTACACATATATAGTGGACCTATAAGGTAGATCAAATTCATAAAATAGAACATAGGGCTTTCCAATAAAGTGGGCAGTGAGCAGAAGTACAGGATAGACATTTCTAATAAAATTGACAGTGAGTGTAGAAGCCAGTTCAAAACCTTGTGAAGGTTTAAACAATTTGCTCTAGTTAGAATGTGTTGCCATTGGTCCCTCAGTGGTCCCCTATTACAACCCCAATTCCAAAAAATTTGGGACATTATGTGAAATGCTAATAAAAAGCAGTGATTTGTAAATTCTGTTTTACCTGCAATAAAGTGGAAATGGTACAAAAACAATGCCTTATAAACGTCATTTTTTTAAATTATACACTCATTCTAAATATGATGCCTGAAACATATTCCAAAAAAGTTGGGACAGGAGCATGTTTACCATGGTGCTACATCACCTTTCCTTTTAAAAACAATTAATAATCATATAGAGATTGAAGACACCAGTTGATCCAATTTTGACAGCAGAATTTTTTGCCTTTCATCTGTTATACACAACTTCAGCTGTGGAACTGTCTGGGGCCTTTGTTGTCATTTTTTATAGCTTAATAAAGCACATGTTTTCAATGGGAAACTGCTGGACTGCTGGCAGGTCAGTCTAGCCACCACACTCTCTGATTATGCACCCATGCCGCTGTAACACATGCAGGATGTGATTTGGTGTTGTCATGTTGAAATAAGCTGGGCTGTACCTGAAAAAGATGGCATCTAGAAGGCAGCGCATGTTGCTCCCAAATGTATTCAGCATTAATGGTGCTTTCACAGATCCCCATACCATGACAGATGCTGGATTTTGTAATTCATACTATTAACAATCTGGATGGTCCTTTTTTTCTTGGGTCTGGAGAACACAACATCCATTATTTCCATAAACAGTCTAAAACGTGGATCCGTCAGCCTACAGTATGTTTCCATTGAGTATCAGTCCATTTCAAACGAGCTCAAGCCCAGAGAAGTCGGCAGTGTTCCTGGATGCTGTTAATATATGACTTCCACTGTGCATAGTACAGTCTTAACTTGCACTTGTGGATGCAGTGATAAAGTGTTTATTGACAATGGTTTGAAGGAACAAAGGTCACAGACATTCATTTATGGTTTTTGGCCTTTTCCTTTATGTACAGAGATTTCTCTGGATTCTCTGAAACTTTTGATGGTATTATGCATCGTAGAAGGTGAAATAACGAAGATCCTTGCAATTCCCGGTTGAGGAACATTATTTTTGGACTTTTTACTGATGCATTTTTGGCAAAGTGGCAAAGTTGCTCATAAAGGACTCCTTTTATAACCAAACATAATTGCATCACCTGTTTAGATGTATTTTGGACATTTCATGATATTTTAGTCTTAAATTGCACCTGTACCAACTTTTTTTCCGAAGGTGTTGCAGGCATCAATTTCAGAATGAATGTATATGTACAAAAATCAATGAAGTTAATAAGTTTAGGAATTCTACACATTTTGCCATTGTCTCATCATGTCTACTGTTTTTGTTCAAACATAGCTTAAAATAGATTTAGAAACACCATCATCACTGTTATTTTCATTTCACTTTATGTTCCAACTATTCTGGAATTGGTTTTGTGGGATCATTTTACTCAGGTAGTGAGAGAAAAAGAGAAAGAGAGACAGATAAAGTGAGAGAGCTTTTTCTGTCTCTCTTACATGCACATGTGCTCAATCTCTTACTCTCTGGCAAAATTACATTGTTTATATGCACATTATGAAATTCAGAAAGTTGCAGGCGGAGTGTAATTTGATTCACTTTCCTGTTAATCCATTTCTGCGGGTGCCATGGTGATAGGGAGCATTATAAATCCATTTTTGAAAATCTCTGCATCATTTCATCTGTCTGCCATTCTCTCTCAGGTTTGGAGCAGTTATTTACCAGCTGAGCAGCAGCTATAATGGGTACTTACCGGGAAAATATCCCAAATACATCAAAAATATCCCTTTCTCCCCAGATATGGAGGATTCTGAGCTTTCATTAGTCCCCAGCTGAAACTGCAATATAATATACTTTAACTCTTAAAGGCTTATTTTTCAGTTATTAACTTCATTCAGTACCTGCTGTGAAAATGATGTGTAGGTTATGTGGTTATGAGAGTGAACTGAATGTGGATTATTTGCTATTAAAGACTATATTAATTAATGATAAAAAGCCTTTTGTTTGCCGAGGTTAAGGTCGTGTCCTGGGTATGCAGGGTATGCACTTACATAATGGACCATATTTTTTTGAGGGGGTTCTTGAGTCACCTCTGCCTTTCATGTTATCACTGCATGTCCCCTCTGCTTCTTCAATGCAATTCTATGCTCCACCTCATTTTCTTAGTCCTCCTCCACAGTGTGCCAGCATTTCCTATACACAGCTTTTAAATTTGTTAGGCATATACAGACAAAAGATGTGCCTGCAGAGGAAAAACACCCCAAACCCTGACAGAGTAGATCACTTAAGCAACAGAACACGAGAGGGAGTGTTATTGCGAAACAACATCACAGCCGTGATGTTATAGCAATAACGCACAACCTTGAGTGTTCTATTGCTTTTATACAATAGTTAAATAAATAAAGTAAGAAATAAATAAATTGGGCCGTGAACGTGGCATTTAATATGTTTTAATATCAGCAGTTCCTTTCGCCAAATTATAGTTCCTTAACAAGCAGCTTGTTGCTACGTCAGAGTAACGAGCTCTGCTCACTCGCTGCACAGCCGGCAGTTTGTTCTCCAGCTCCACACAGACCAACTGACAGTTTGGGAATTTAGTGTAGTCTCGTCTTCAAAGTCTGACCAAATTGGCTGTCGGTCAAATGTAATCTTAGAAGTATCCATTTTCTGTTTGTGCGCAAAGTAAGAAGTAAAAACATTTAAATGGCTTTATCGTCTCCTACAAAGTCGTTGCCTAGCATCGGCATCAAGTCTGCAGTGTCTTGCTATGAGGTTTGGATGATTTTCTATTGTCTGTCACTTCACTGCTTTTGTGTTAACAGCCTGCACTGGTGTGTAGTAGTATGTAAAATAAAATAATAAAAATAACAGTTAATGAAGATGATGTGTGGTTACTCTGGCATGGGAATGATATTTTGTGCAATAACATCAAATCTTGGTGGGTTTGTCTTGTGGTTGTGTCTCAAATTAACGGGGGCTTAGCATATGGGCCTGCGGATTAACTTTTACACCATACTGTGAAAAGCTACTGTAATTACTGTATATTTTTAGTAGCTTCCTGGCAGCAGAGTTGCCAGGTAATCACTGTAATCAATATTTACACCACTTATGCTTGTTTTTTGTTCTGTATTTTTAACTGCACTACAAAACTGAACTGAAATGAAAGTGTTAAAACGGCAGTATTAAAATTGCCATTAAATTATGACAAAATATTTTTTAAAGAGCAAAACAATCCTAATTAAAGCAATTATTGCATTTCATTTTTTTTAAAAAGAAATACAACCAGTTATTCTTTTAAAAGCTAACAGGCTAAAAGCCTGCACTTATAATATTGACAGATGTATTAACTATTTAATTAGGGACTTAAGTAAAGTTGCAATAAATAAAGTAAAAATGTTACATGTATGTACAACAAGCTCTAAAAGTCAATATTTAAGCTAGAACTGTATAGTATTAACCTTACAGTGGGAAAGTGAATGTTAGCTTGGCGCTAACATGACATTGCAAATCCCGTAGACAATGAAGTGTTAGCTAGCTAGGCTAATGTTAACTAACTTTTGTCACTAGTTTAAATGTGTTACGTTTACTCTGGATAACAGAGATCAGTGTAACTCAGCTGTTCTTTTAAATGCATTTAAATGATGGAAAACTGAAAAACAGTAAAAAAAAAAAAACTGAACTGCAGTGGAGAGGATGATGATCCTTTGCTGCTTCAAAAAAGTTATTTTGGCAGCTAGTTTTACAGTAAAGCTGACGATACTGTATATTTTAATGTATTACAGTATACAATAATATTAAAGCAGCAATAAGGCGTTTGATACACTATACTCTCTCTCTCTCTTGCTCTCTGTCATGCTCTCTCTCTCTCTCAGTTCCTTCTTCCCCTTTTGAACAGTTCCTATAGTTGAAATGTTCTGCCTCTACTGCTTTTATGATGTTGCTAATGCTTCTGTTTCCAGATAATTCTCCTCCAGAGTGAATCGTAGCTGCACTGCTTTCTCAGAGCATTAAGTCTTGTGTAACATGTGGCCCTGTTTGCCGTGTGTGATCTGATTAATGTTGTGTTGCAGGTAAAGAGAAGGGACGCTGCTTCACCATCGAGTACATCATGCCCACCAACGTCCACTTAACGTCAGATGTCACAGTCAGCGTCCTGAGTAAGTGATGCGTCTTATTAAAGCTGATCTCATACTATCAGTACTGTAACAACATTCGAAAGGTTCTATGAGGGAGTAAAACTCCAAATTCACAGATCTTCACTGCCTTCTTTTAAAATGTGTAGAGTTGTGTTTGATTTTCACTGTTACTTTTCAGTTGAGTTCATCATTAAAAAAGATGGTTCTTCAGGGGTTCTTTAGTAAAGACAATGGTTCTGTTTAGAACAACAAAGACTCAAAGAAGCCGAACAACCCAAAGGGATCTTTGCATAGTGAAAGCGTTCATCAGAGTGATGGAGGATGTGTTGTAGATGGTTCTGTCTAGAACTTTTTTGAAAAGGGTTCTATATCACAGGATTCTACATTACACCAAGAAGAGTTCTTCTCTTGTTACAAGCTTGTATCATAACAACAGCAGAACGCTTCTTGGTGCTAAAAAGGGTTCTGCTGTTGTTGCGATATGAGCTTGTAACAATAGAAGCACCCTTTTTGATGTGATACAGAACCATTTTCAAAAGTGTTCTAGATGGAACAAGGGTTCTGTATAGCACCAAGAAGCGTTCTGCTGTTGTTATGATACAAGCTTGTAACAAGAGAAGAACTCTTCTTGGTGTAATGTAGAATCCTGTGATATAGAACCCTTTTCTAAAAGGTTCCAGACAGCACCATCTATCCAGAACCCTTTTGAAAAGGGTTCTATATAACACCAAACAGGGCTCTGCTGTTGTTACAATACAAGCTTGAAGCAACAGAAAAACACTTTTTAGTGTGATACAGAACCATTTTTTAAAAAGAAAAACCCACTTTTTTGAAAAGGGTTCTATATAGCACCAAAAAGCGTTCTGCTGTTGTTATGATATGAGCTTGTGACAATAGAAAAACCCTTTTTGGTGTGATGCAGAACCCTTTTCAAAAATGTTCTAGATAGAACCATCTTTCCATAACCTTTTTGAAAAGGGTTCTATATAGCACCAAAAAAGGGCTCTGCTGTTGTTAAGATAAAAGCTTGTAGTTCCCTTTTCAAAAGGGTTCCAGATAGAACCATCTACAGCACATTCTCCCTCAATCTGAAGAACCCTTTAATTGTACAAAAGGTTCTTTGAATGTTCATAGTTCTATATAGAACCATTTTCCTAATAAAGAACCATCTTTTTTAAGAGTGGAGTAGATCTACCCACAAGGTCTACATTCCATCTTCATCACTCAGCTTCATGTTCATTAAAGTGTCTTCCTTGATATGAAAAGCAGGTTTTAAACAAAGATTTGAAAGTTTTATTGTCTAAACTGTTGTTAAAAGTTCATACTGGACCTCTTTTGGTTTAGATCTGGTTTAAACTCTTGAGTGCTGATAAGTGTTGAAATCACAACAAAGAGAGAAACTGCCCCTGCTTTCTATTGTGTGTTAAAGGGCCCATATACCTATACACAATCTTCTTATAGTGTATTTTTTCCCTAAGATAGTCTTTTAACACTGGTATGGTTTTATGTCCCAAAAGTCATGATTTATTTCTTTCATAATCCTCTCTTTAGAAAATAGGTTATTTTTGTTACTGTGACTTTAAAACTGATATATGTAAATGAGATATGTTTTGATTGGCTGTCCTGTACTGTGCTGGGCCGAAACACTCTTTATAACTTCAGCCTGAATGGGTGGGGCTAAACTGCAGGTGAATAGCCTCAAAAATATAAATGGACTGGCTTTTATCACATTGAAAAAACAACAAATTTAAAACAGGCTGTTTTTGCAGCTTACTTTCAAATGGTGTCCGGTCCAAAGGCATTGGTGTATGATATTACAATGACATTACAAAAACTAAATCAAAACAGGCTGTTTTTGCCTCTCGATTTCCATATATGGACTGGGTGAACAGTGAACAGTACGTTTTGAAGTAGCGTTTATATTCTACCGCACGGATCAGGAACCCAAGGCCATGTTGTCCTTTGTTTGAACCACCCTGGGAGCCACAACGTTTTATTTTGGGGGTTTCAGTGGTGAAATGGTTCATGTCTATCACACAAATACAGTCATTTTATATACCATCCAAAGCCACCAGTCAGCACACATGTGTCTTCTGAGTTTTTCTTTGCAATGTTGATGATGGTAAAACAGTGAGTCTTCTTTGGGACTTATTTTGCCTTACAACACCCTGCATGTACCTTTCCACTATGAGTGTAATTTAATAAATACAAACATACATACATACATACATCATCTAAACCGCTTATCCTTCTGGGTCGTGGTGGGGTGCTGGAGCCTGTCCCAGTTGTCATTGGGCGGAAGGCAGAATACACCCTGGACAGGTCGCCAGTCCATCGCAGGGCAGACAGACAGACATACACAGTCACACACTCACACCTAGGGGCAATTCAGCATCTCCAATCAGCCTGACTGCATGTTTTTGGACTGTGGGAGGAAACCGGAGTACCCGGAGGAAACCCACGCAGACATGGGGAGAACAGGCAAACTCCACACAGAAATGACCCTAGTCGCCCAGCCGGGAATCGAACCCAGGCCATTCTTGCTGTGAGGCGACAGCGCTGCCCACTGCGCCACCGTGCAGCACCTTAATAAATACATTTTAGGCCTTTATTATAAAACAAATTTCATGTGATAACTTTCTGTGAGGGAGCTTGCCTATAGCATTTCACATCAAACCACTCTGAATGACTTTATTTACATCAACCACTGAATTATGCAGAAAATTTGGAATTGCCCTTCAACTTTATTTTATTTCAAGTAATTTTGAACCATTTCTATTGATCTATTTATCACAAAATATGGCATGATCATGAAGTCACAAGGTTTGGACATTACAGTGATGTTATTAAAGTAGGGTAGCGTCTCTGTGCACAGCTAGTTCAGCTCTAACAGTGTCCTGATTATGCCTTTAAGAGGAGCGTGGAGTTATTCACAGAAGGCTGAGTGCTGAGCTGTAGGTGTTTATGGTGTATGTGCTGTGTACGTGCTGTACGTGCATGTAGATGTGTTAAACTGGGCTGGGCTGGGAGATGCTGACAGGGAAAAACTGTAGCACTGAATGATGTAGCTATAAAAATGCACATTCTGAGGCAGTGAGCCTGTTTCTAACTCAAGGTTTACAAATATCCATCACCCTATGAGTTGAGATGAGAAGAGTGCAGATGATTCGTAGCAAAAAACAAACTCTAATAAAGGGGAATTTTCCAAAAATTCTGCATAATTCAATCAATTAAGATATAAACAAAGTCATTCAGAGTGGTTTGGTGTTAAATCGTTAATGGTAAAGAAACGTACAGACTCAGATTTCTTTACAGTGGTGTTGATAGGAACCAGGGGTCACAATGTCTACAACACAAATATAGCCAATTTATTTTCTGTCCAAAACCACCAGTGAAGCTACACGTCTTCTGAGGTTTTTTATGTAATGTTGATGGTAAAATAGTTATAAATATGAAAAAAATAAGTTTTTTTTAGACTATTTTGCCTTAGAACGCCCTGCATATATTCCTCCGCCATGAATGGATTTGAAAGTACATTTTACATCAAAACCTTCTCAAAACAATCATAAAACAATGTCTCAGATATCAGGCAGCATATTCATAACCATTTCGTGCAACTTTCTGTGAGGGAGCTTTTAGAGGTGGACGTCTGGTTCCTATCACCACCACTGTGAATAATTCTGACTGTAGTTTCTCTACAGTTTCTCTACAGCATTTCACTCTGTTTACATCTTAATGATTTATTTAGGCAGACATTTTGAAAAATCTATGAAATTCCCCTTTAAGTGCTTTGATTTAAAATAGCGCATTTTAAAGCTCAGCAGTTTTTATAAAGTGTTCTGCATGTTGTGTGCAATTACACATTGCTACCAGAGAGGTCTCCAAATCCCCAAATCCTACCTAGTGTAGCTCTTGAGAAGAAATATCAGCATACAGTTTCAATATTGGCATCGATATTATAAAGAAGAAGCTGTATCATTTCATCTCTAATAGGGTTTAAAAGGTTTAAGCTGTGCTTGATCTTAGTATCTATAAAGAGCAAAAGTCTCCAAAAAACAACCTTTGCATTTACTGGTTACATTTAATTGTACATAGAGTGAATCCTGTTGGATTTTACAGAATTACTGGCTCTTTCCTTCCAGTTAACAGTGTCTCAGGATAAAATGCAAGCCAAGTCACATGGGACCTTTCTCAGCACAGCATGACCTCGGAGGTCAAAAGATTTCCAATAATCTCTGATCCGCCAGGGCACTGATATCCAGTGAGCTTGAGGACCCTCAAACCCTTAATATGCTTGCTTAGACACACAGCACGTGGTCAGGAAAATAAACCATTTTTTCTGGGCACACTCAGTAGTTTCCTATTAGGTCACAGCTTCATATGATGTACATTAGCATAGTAACATCATTTTATCACTTCCTGTTAGTTCAAGTTTACAGCAAGTTAATATTTTGGTACTACACTGCAAAAAATGATATCTTAGCAAGTGTAAACATCTTAAATGTAGACAATATATCTGATATTTCTCATTATGAGACTGTTGTAAGAATACTGTAAGATTATTTAACTTATTTCTAGACAAATTTTACTGTTTTTAAGCAGATTTCCCTTATAAAAGTGTCTTATCCCAGATCATGTTCCTTGTTTTAAGCATTATTTCTTGCAATAAGCAAAATTATCTTCATTACTTCTCAAAACAAGTAAACAAATCTACCAATGGAATAAGACACTTTTTACTAGATACTAGTGAAAATCTTGTTTTAATCACTTTTATAACATTCTTATAATGAGAAATGTTAGATTTATTGCCTGCATAGAAGAAGTTTTCACTTGTTAAGATATTATTTTTTGCAGTGTACTATGCCAAATCTTACACGATAAAGATTAGTACAAAGTTTTTGCCAAACAGCTTGTTAGACAGCCCTTCAAATTAGTGGATTCAGCTACTTTAAGGTGAACCCATTGCTGACACAGGTGTTCAGTTGTCCACACATAGCTTTACTCTCCATAGAAAAGCATTGATCAAAAAATGGGACTCTCTGGAGCAACTGCACATTACTAAATCACCATGTCCAATGCCAAGCGTGGGCTAGAGGGCTATAAAGACCCCAGCATTTGGCTGTGGAGCAGTGGAACTGCGTTCTTTGAAGTGATGGAGCTCCATCCAATACCTTTAGGATGAGTTGGAGTGTCCAGAACTGATCATCCAACATCAGTACCTGACCTCACTAATGATCTTGTGGCTGAATGCAATCAAATCCTCACAGCAATGTTCCAACATTCAGTGCAAAGCTTTACCAGAACAGTAGAGGCTGTTACTGCAGCAAAGGAGGAACAAACTCTATAAAAACCCTGACTTTAGAAGAAACGCTGAGCAAGTGTCTGCAGACTTTTGGGTCTAATGTATCTCTTGTATTTAATATAATATTGAGACACAGATTAAAACTGTAATTGTATCTAACAGTTGAAATTTGGAATCATTCTACATAATCTACATAATCTGTTAAGTTGCAGACATTTAATCATTGCTGCACTGAAGTGAGAAAATGAATACTAATGTGGTTAAATTATTCATTAAACTGCCTCTAATTATTTTCCTCTTCAGTGATAATCTCATAAAGCCTGAATCATTGCCCTGCATAAGCAGATGGCCCGAGGGAAACCCAGAGTGATCAATGCATTTGATCAGGTATGGATCAGTTCTTGTCTGCTTTGTGTTCGTGTGTGCAGAGATGATTCGCTCGGCCACTCCGTTCCCGCTGGTCAGCCTCTTCTTTATGTTCATCGGCTTCGTCCTAAACAACATCGGACACGTCCGCCCCCACCGCACCATCCTGGCCTTCGTCTCTGGAATCTTCTTCATCCTCTCAGGTACTAAACAACTGACCAAAGGCTTTCAAAGATGAAGAGTGGTCTCAAAGAGACCATCTGGCATCTGAGATTTAGTACTGGAAAGATTTTAGTGAAGATGAAACAATTAGTTGAGCCACTTTAAATGCACAGAGAACTTCTGATAGCATATAATATGTTATGTAATATTGTGCAGTGCTGCATTGCTTCCCTCAGCCTCATGGATTTGGAAGAATTCACAATTTGTTTTCCTTTTTGTGTGATTTTTTTTAATCAATATTCTCTCATTACAATGCTTAGCATGCATTATGCAAATACATCATACAACCATTGGGAATCCCCCCCATGCCAGTAAAGGAACCTTGTCTGCTAGCATAGCCGCTGAAGTAGAGGCTAATAAGTTGGTAAAAAAATAATGGTATTCAGTTTTTCTTAGCAGTAATGTTCGCTATCTGGCTTCTTTCCTCATTCGCCAGCTGGCAGGAAAAACATTTTTAAAAGCCCACCCTCATTTATCCACCCCAAACCACTTTTTCAAACATTCCTCCCACCTTCAAGATACTTCATCAGAAGGGGAGGTTTTCCTAGTCTAACCAGAAAATCCCACTCTAGAGACTACTGCAGCACCAGTGCAGGAGGCGATAGGCATGCTCATAACAGATGAAGCAATGATTAGATTTGACATTTTGACCCGGGTGCACCTTTAAGGGTGGGTGATATGGTAAAAATATAACATCACGACACCTGAAGATGTTATCGATATGCAATATCGAGTAAATATAAGTTTTTCTGAAATTTGCAAAAAACGTAGCCACAGCAAAATAGTGGTGCCACATATACAAAAGTTAAAATAAAATACAAATGGAAAATGTTCAACTTTTGAAAAAAAATAATGGAGAACAAATTAAACAATTGGTAAAAATAAATGATGTCATAATGGGCTGACGTCCAGTCAGCTACCTGTTATTATGTAGTTTATGCAGTAACTATACACTGATTGTTGTTGTTTACAGCTTCTTTATAATTGCTCTAAATAAGTCATTTTCATGATGAATGCAGTTCTTTGATGTTCTAGAAGTGCTGACTGTAACCAAGGTATGTTCCAAAGAGCATATTGTGTAATTTACTATGTTAATGATAACATATTATCACTGTTTTCTTAGTAAGGAGTTTTAGGTGTAAGTCTGAGTTAAGTGTAATATAATATGAAGCATGATATTCAAAACTCAAGTCATTTATTAATTATTTTACACTAAAAAATCTAAGGAATAGTAAGGAAGTATTATACAATACTGTAATTCCACCCACCTGTCTCTTTCTGTTTCTCTTACTCATCTCTCTCTCTCTCTCTCTCTCTCTTTATCTGTCTCTCTCTCTCTCTCTCTGATGCAGGTCTTTCTCTGGTAGTTGGTCTGGTGTTATATATCTCCAGCATCAATGATGAGATGTTGAACAGAACAAAGACGAATGAAGCCTATTTCAGTTATAAGTACGGCTGGTCCTTCGCCTTCGCAGCCATCTCCTTCCTGCTTACTGAGGTAAAGCAGCCCCTGCTGTTGCTGAACACATCATTTGTTTCATTTAAATCCGATCTTCAGTATGTTCTGTTCTATTCGCTTCAGTTACAGGCCTACACAGTGCAGTGCAAATGAATTTCAGTCTTTAACATGTTGGAAAGAAATAAAACAAACATTATAAATGTGCCATAACTTTTGTACAAGCCACATTTTATAGTTTATTTTTTCCCCGTATATGAATACATGTTAATATGTGTTAGCTTGCTTTCACTTGTAAAATAGAATAGACCAAAGAATAGAAAAGAACAGAGTAGAATATAACAGAATGCATTACAATACAACATGATACAAAAGAACTGAGTAGAAAAAAACAGAATAGAAAAGTGTAGAATTGAATGGAAAAGTATAGAACAAGACTCTAGAACGGAAAAGAACAGTATACAACAGAATAGAGTAGATTTACAATAGAATGAATTTAGGGACCAGCAGCCAGTTGCACCAGCTGAACGTAAGTTTGTTTGTATCCTAGTTTGAATGTAAACTGCCTCTACATTCAAGTTTACGAGCTACTAGAATTTAGAACCAGTTGCACCAAGTAACATAGTTAAAATTAACACATACCCTATAATAGGTGTAAGTTCAGCCTAAATGGCTGGTCAATTTGATCAATGGGAAAACTTGCAAGAAAACAAAATATGTTTTGGTTTGCATTGACAAACACTTCTGCAGCATAGATTATACCTGTTTTCATCAGCCGGAGGTAGAAAAGATCACAGACCTCCTAGTCACAAACAGGAACGGCGCCCTGAGTCCTACTTTGTGTCTGGTGAAATGTTTTTCTAAAGAGTCATTCCAAAACTTGGTGGGTTATTTTATATATAACAGATTATAGCTAACATTACCTTTTTGTTATTCAGCAGAGTCATATAGTGATTACCTTACCCGTAGCTTTGCTAACATTACTGACCCTTCATTGATAAAGTGCTGTTAAAATATTGTGCACGAGATCTTAGTTTAAACATCAGAAGAATTACAGCAGCAGAACAAAATAAACACACATACAAAAGACAGACGCTTTGAGGACACCACTTCATTGTAAAACAGTCTCTTTTTGAATTATTGCTAATACGACAGACATACCTTAAGCGAAGTAAAAGTGGCTAAAAAACAGAAATACGAGCGATTTCCCTGCGTGTGGATATCATGCTTGTAATGTTTCCTGTTTATGTCAGGTAGCGTTTACTGATTGATTGAGAGTGGAAACGTCATTCTGTGCGTCAGTGTTTTGCACAAAGATCACTTTACATGCTGCTGGTTAAAATGAAAGTGTCTGTGGTGCAACCAAAATTCTGTGTGTCGTCAGTTTTAAACTGACTACTCTCGACGTAAGGTTTAGACTGGACTTTATACTCCAACTTACGATCAAACTCACATTGCACTGGGGCAACTGGCTGCAGAGGCCGGTTGCACCAGCTGTGCATAAGTTCAAAGGTAGGCTAGCTGTAATGCAAGTGTTTACTAAGTTCAGCTCTATGCATTACTACATCAGAATGAGTTGCACCACAAGCTAGTTTTAACTTTGAGCTTAGTAGTTACTAAATATTTACACCTCTCCCTCAGCAAGTGTAAGTGTTGGGGAAACCATCAGAAACCACATAGAAAGCACAAAAAGACTGAAGACATGACTTTTTGGGTTAACTCACCTAAAAATTCTAAACGCTATACGCTGTGATTTTATGTACAGCTCTAATCATCACCCTGGTTTTAATTCCAAGCATGAAGCTAAACACCCACAGCTCCAGCTCAGTGAGACACAGCTGCTGCACAAACAGCTAAACTGATCTGCTGTTCTGTCAGTTAGCCAGAAACTGTTGTTTAAAAAGCTGCATGTTTGGTTTTCTCAGGGAAATTTTAAAGAACAAACAGGCAAAGACTATAAATATTTAGTTTTATTCGGTTTACACATTGTTCTCTTCTAGGCTGTATTTTTGTTCCATGGAGAAGTCAGAGCAGACTGCCAACGCATTTTCATGGCAGCAGGTTTACTGATTGGATCTGAACATGTTCATCATGTTAACGTGATGTACGCATTAGTTAGTTGTTGCTAGTTAAGGCATGACTTAAGAATTTGTGGTGCAACCAAATTTAGTAATAGTTCGAAACTAGCTAGTGTAACAAAGGACTACTTTACACACAATCGTACATATAAATCTACGCAAAACCATTGCAACCCAGTCCAGCTGACTTTTTCATAGCAACTGTTGCTAGGTTGGACAAGCTTTACAGAATGTTCTCCATTGTACTTGCCATGTATGTTGACATTACAACAAAAACAGAAAACATGAAAATGCATGATAACAGGGAGAGCGACAGAAAGACACTAGATATTTAGACAAAGAGCTTTTCACCACAATTTCTCATTAGGTTGGAAAGGATTTCTGCCAGTTTTCTTTAAAGCTTGTCCAACGTAGCAACAGTCGCTAAGACGGAACACATTTGTGGAGCATGCATAGGTCAGCTGTGGAACAGAATATGCACCATGTTTCCTCACACATGAGGTATTTTTCTGTCATAATGTCTGTCTTGCAGGCAGCAGGTGTGATGTCAGTCTATCTGTTCATGAAGCGCTACACAGCAGAGGAGATGTACCGGCCGCACCCGGGTTTCTACCGGCCACGTCTCAGCAACTGCAGCGACTACTCGGGTCAGTTCCTGCACCCGGATGCCTGGGCCCGCGGCCGCAGCCCCTCGGACATCTCCAGTGAAGCCTCGCTGCAGATGAGCTCCAACTACCCCGCCCTGCTCAAGTGCCCCGACTATGACCAGATGTCATCCTCCCCCTGCTGAAATCACACACACACATACAGCGCTGTGCAAAAGTCTTAGTCCTGCAAAGGAAATGGTCTGAAACTATTTATCTGGGCAGTTAAATGTGTTTTTGCCGGTAAAAACATCATATAATGTTATATAATATAAAATTACAGTCATACTGCCTGAGCAGGGATTTAAACCCCAATCTCAAGAGTAAATGTTACCCACGACACTATCTAATTGCTTTGAACCAGTGAGGTATTAGCTTTACTTAAGAGCTCCACAGAGCCTTACATATGTCACTTTTTTACAGTACTAAAAACGTGGTTTAGCGAGTTATTAGTGCACTTTACTGCCAATATTTATTTGGTTGCTATTCAAAATAGCCACATTATGGAATGTAATGATTTCTCTAATGGATTAGTGATGCTTTTTTGAAGGGAGTATCTGCATTATGGTGATGTGTGCATGTGTCAGGTGGTGGTTCTGCAACAAAGGGGTTGCTCAAGAGAGATCTGAGCTAAGCTGACCCTCTAGATCTAAGATTTGCTTAAATGTGTATTGAAAAACGTCCTTAGGAAACAATTATTATGGAAAAAAGCTCCAGCACTTTTAAAGGTTTGCTTAATGAAGAATTGATTAGCTCAAACAGATCTTGGATGGTAACTGTAAATAGAGGGCTGCCTCAAGCAGAGATTTGAAAGCAGTTTAGCTAAAACAGTGACGGACATTAAAAAATGGCTCCTTTTTTTCTGAATCCTGCTACATAACATTGACATAACCATACCATAAACATGTCATATGTCATATGGCAGATGACATATGCTGTCATCAGTTGTCATGACAAACAGTAAATATAGTAAATATAACAGTAAATGCCTTTACATGCATTCACATGATCATAATCAGATTTCTGCAGTTTTCTGATTATTCAAATGGTCATGTAAACATCACAATCTGATTTCTTAGATCAGATTAAGGTCTAGAAATCCAGTTAAGAAATCCGATAAAGAGAGATGGATTTTAGCTCAGTAATTAGATTTCTCAGTGTATGTAAACTCTTACTCTGATTTCTTTCGGATTTCTCACTCTGCACACGTGGGAAATCAGACTGTGGTACCGGAAATAAGTGAGCAGCACAGCACCCACAAGATGGCACCATAACACTTTTAGAGCGATGCTTAAACCAAATACATGCTTGACGAAATGAAGAATTTAAATATTTTTCATCCTCTAGATGATGTATGTTCATATTTTCAGGTAAAGTGGTGAGTGTTTAAAAAAAAAGCTGCCGCATGAAGTTTGAGTATTACTTTACGTTTATGCCATGTCTTCTTCTGTGAGTTTATTGGCTGGTTGCAAAGCAGAAATCTGATTATTGCCCGACTCATGTAGACCCAGAATTTCACGTTATCTGATTCCTCAAGTGCATGTAAATGCGTTGATTGGATTACTGACAAAATCGGATTTTCTGAGGTTATCGGATTATTAAGTGCATGTAAACACACTCATTGTCATGTTATCATTTACTGTTTGTTGTCATGACGGATGCCATTATATTTGATGTTATTATATTTGATGGCTAACTAGAGCATGTAGCATGTGACTTAAGCTGCCATTGCATTCGTCATGACGGTAATCAGCAATGATAACATGACCCTGTTATATTACTGAACAAAATCTGCCATGACAACTTATGACGGTATATGATGTCAGCCATGGTGTTTATAGCATGGATATGTCAATGTAGTTTTTTTTGTATTGATGTTTGTATTTATTGTAATGTTTTTTGGAAGAGATACATGCTACCCAGATAAATAGCTTTCTCAGAGGTCGTAAGACTTGCACAGACTGTAAACATGTACACATGCACATAAACAAAATCTGAAGAAGTGTTGGACTTGACATGGCTTCACTTGCACGTCTTGAGTGAAAGCTGGAGATTTTAGCGTTTGTAGAGAAAGGATATCACTCGTTTCAGTGTGTGCGAGTGCCTCTTGTTGGAATTCCTCTGGTAGTGCAGTTTTTCTGAGTTTGGCTCATCGGGAGATGGCGACTCGATCCTCGTGCTGCATTCCTGTGTACAGTAGCTGCTAGTCCACCATGCTAGTGTGTAGCAAACATGCTAACAAAAACCTCTGCCTTTTTTCTAGAACCTTTTGCTTTTCTAGAGCCTTGGGATACATTCTAAACAAAATTTGTTCGATTTTTCTATCAGAACTCCATTATCTTTGTTATTTTTTATGTAAACATTTATAAAGTAGGGTAGCCGGTGTGTATTATATCCAAAATTAACATCATCCCAAAGGTGAGAATCTATCCATAAGCTATTTTACAGATGTTACTATGATATCCCTCAACATTAAAAGGAGAAAAGGTTGTGTCATGCTGCCTGGCCTTGACTCTATTACCTATATATACATGTATATATATCTTATTATGACATTTTTGGAACACGTCAACATTAGACAAACTGAAATGTTTATTAGAGTAATGCTAATTTAGCTCTGAATCTTTCCTTTTTGCACTTTAACATAGATAGACAGTTCTATCTGGTAACTGGTGTAGCAGTGTAGGTTTGCACAGCTGAGATACAGGTGGGATTAATGGCGGAGGTACGTTATTTGCAGATGTTGGCTATGAATGTGCAGATTATTGCAGTTGATAAAGATTTATCAGTCATTTTTTTCAGTGCAATATATTCTACTCACTCTTGAAGACCTTCTACATAAGAATATTTACTCACCAGCACTTTACTGATACAGCTATATTTTTGTTTATTTTCTAAAAAGTAATAGCTTGACCAAATTCAGTCATTTTTTCTGCTTGTTTATGATCAAATATGTGCCCAAACAAAATGAATTTATTTTGGATAAATTAATCGAAGAGCTCTAACCCATGGTGTAGAATATTTTGTGTTTGCAAGTATAGTGATTTCTTTTCCATTTATGAGCCAGTCATGTTTGTAGATCTATGTATTTCTTTAAACAAATTTAAGCGTATATGTCATGAAACTTCACCCATAGACCAGAATTTCTGTGTTTTGAAGAGAAACGTGGGCCTACCAGTCAAACGAGTGTAAATACCCTTTGGTCATTTTTAGTTCCAGGACTGTTCATTTTTGACCAACCAAAATAGCTGGCCTTGCCACGTATACAATCAAACAAGTAACAGACTTCATAGCCTGGTGTTGAAAATACAAGCAAATGTTTCATGATCTGTTTTTTTCTTTTTAGTTAATCCTTTTAATGTTGACCAGCCAATTCACAATCTTGTTAATCACTCTTATTTTATGTTTGCAGTTTATTTGAATTGAAAAATGTAATGATTAAAAAGTAGCACAGTTACTCAACTCTTTCAGCTCAGAAGTCGAAGAAACATGCCAGCTGCTCATTATCAGCTTCATTAATTTTTCTGTTGTTTGCTAATATTACTACTCTGCATGTGGCCCAAGATTCTTAGTTGACTTTCAACATACTAAATTCATTACGTAATCAGGATACAAAATAAAGCTAACTGCTATAGTTATGAACAACAAAAAAATAAAGACAATAATCTGATTTGTAAAAATTACAAAACGTGATTTTCTTTCCTGTGGTCATCTCCACAACCTAATCCTTCACTTTTTTAAGTGGTCTTTGTTTATCCTATTATCACCATTAACCTCTTAAAATCCCAGGATTATTACATACTAAGGCTTATTATTCAGTAACTACAGGAACTTCAATGCAAACTGGCTATTTTAGGTTATAAAAGTGTGGCCATTCAAGGGGTTAATATAATGCATCTGTGGGGTTTGCAATGTGTTGTAAGCTGATGGTGGTAACATTAACACACCGGTTTTACTACCACATGTGGCATAAACACATTTAAGGCTTGTAGGACTTTTACGTAGTGCATCGTTCACTTTCTATGTTGCATCTTAATAGTGAATCCTTTAGGATATGTTGAAATTTAAAGCTGACCTTTATTAAGAAACCAGTTTACCCAGCTTTTAGCAATGCACACAAAACCTACTTGACTTCTTATGGCTCCCCCTTGCGGAAAGCTGTAACTCTCCTAACCCTGATTATAACATCCGGGGATAGTTTTGCAGTTCTTCTTTTGTTCATTCTGAAACTTAAATAAACATAGTGTTTTTTTTAGACCCAGTGCATTAAAAAGAGAATGATTATGGAGAATGAAATAGACTACAGTACTGTATACATCCATTAAGCCATTAGGCTTACATTAATGGAAACATTCCCGAGCTTCAACATGTCAGCTGAATATGGACTAATATGATTTCAGTACACATAAATACTGGCGTGTCATGACCTCTATGCTGACAGAGTGCTCTGTGAGTGGACATACGGTACATTTGTGAAAAATTAACAGACATTTTCTTTCTGTTTTAATAAAGGCGCAACATGCCAAACTTTTTTTTCCAAAACCACACTCATTACTTTTTATAGATGTATTGTATTTGATTATTTGTTACAATATTATTTGTTTCCTGTTCTATTACTTTTGTACATATTCACAATATGTAAATAAGATGAAAAGACTTTTATATAGATTAAACTTGTTTATAGATGTTCTTCTAATCTGTAGGCAATGAGCCAATCATGTAGCAAAAGCAGATAGCCTGCTTAGCTTGACTATGGTACTCTACACAATAGCTGCATTGCCTTGTGCCACGATGCTTATACTGTACAGAATGTGAGCTTTACATATGTTACCGTACAATACTGTAGCCAAACAGTTCAGCCAGTGAACATGTAAATGCAGTGTGTTTTTACAGTGGTTTTCATGCTTTATGTGCATTGTACAGTAGAGCTGAAATAAAGCTGTGACTCTGTGTTTGTTGAAGTAAACCATCAATGGCCTCCTGTGCTCAGTTTTTTTACATGCTAACACATCTGGCTAGCAATAAATGAAAACTGCTATGATTGGACAATGGGACAATAATATTTTGGTCTCTGTTATCAGTGCTAGATTAGTTTGAAATGAATTAGGTCATGTTACTCAAATGTTAGCTCTAAGCTTCTTTGTTG